CAACCAACCTCCCCACCCGCGGGAGATTTAGGGGTGAGTGGTAGACTACCAGCTTCATCCCAGGGTTACTTTATTTTCAACCATGTTTCTAGCTAATGGGAGTGCACTGCTCGACATCATGGGAACGAGACTGATCGACTATTAAACCCCCTCCCCCTTACAAAATCGTCTGGCATAACGCTTTAGTAGTGGAAGGCACACTCGTTTGAATAGGGTTTGTTGAATAAATAGATTCGAGGAATACGACGTAAAACCAAATGGCCGCCCCTGAGTGACATCCGGCATGCATAACTAGAAATAGAAATGGTTTTTAATGGATTGCATGCTGGACATGAACAATGAATGGGAGGTTTGCGGTAACACCGTGTGAAATTGTGAATGATATCTCTTTAGAGTTGTGTGGTTCTGAACCAGTTGGTAGAAATAGAAAGGCTTATATTTTATGGTTATATCCACATCAAAAAGCAGGATTTTCCGCCCGGCTAAGTCATACTAAAAGCCTCAAGACGGTCATGTTAGGTACTCGGGAAACCATTCGCATTTATTGGTCATAATGCAATGGCGAAGCGATATCCTCTGATACTACAGTTTGTGGTTTGAGAAATTAGGTAACTTCAAATGGCGATATCTGGAGAAGTCTTCACAGGATGATTACGAAAACCGCCCAAAACGGAGGTGGAGATAGCCACCAGTAACTTTCTTGGAAATTGCACATTTCTCTTTACGTAATCATAGCGTGTTCCTTTGTCACTGAAAAGCAAATTCTCATAAAAATGAGGGAACAAAATGGTTCACGTCTGTACACTCGTGAGTTGCAGAAGTCAATCTTAACTTGTTTCCTATTGGTTTGTGACCATTATGGTGCCAAAGTACATGTGCTATTTGCGCAAAATTATGTCAGAAATCTTTTCAGGAAAACAATACAAAGAACAGTTCGATGTGACGGATGTATCGCGCGTATATACCCACACGTCATAATTATGTCAGGACAGTGCAAGGGCGGATCCAGAATATAATTTTTGGGGGGGCCAAAAAAAAAATTGGTCCCCAAAAAAAGTGGGTCTAAAAAATTACGGCGTGGGGTTCGGGGCCCGCTAGGGCCCCGAAAAATTTTTGGATTCTAGATGCTCTGTGGTGCGATCTGAGGCAATTTCTGACCACTTTAACCATTTGTTTTTGAGGAAAAGATGGTGGTGTACTCATTGCCTGCCTTTATTGCGATGTCACATTAAAAAAAGAAAAAATTGGTTTCGTTTTGGGGGGGGCCATGGCCCCCTTTGGCCCCCCCCTGGATCCGCCCTTGGGACAGTGTACCGACGGAAGTGTACAAATAGCTTTGTAAATTGACTTGCTGACAAAGTAACATACGGCTAGGGAGCCAGTCACGTGCCAATGACGTCACATGACATGTTGGTCTGCAGATGGGAGTTCATTGTTGATTTTAGAAAAACTGTTTTCCTGGCCAAGTAAATGTTTGTTGGCCTTTTGGCTGGATTCCACAAGAATAACTTTCCCACGCTCAGACCTGCACGCAAACAAACCAAGCACATTTTCAGTCCGGAAATTCCGGCCTCTTGTGCGCATGCGCAATTAATTAACAGGCAATATCGGGAAACAAATCGAGCATCAGAAAATAAAACAAAAAGTGCAACTGCACAACCAATATCGTTTGTTCAGCTCACCGAACGAAATGACTTGGTCTATTTTTACAGGATCTCTGTTTCTAACCGCCGAATAGGTGCAGTGAACTCTATGGATCTACCGTATGCGTATCCACACTGTCCATTCTGGGAAAAAGTGTAGACGACAAGTCGTGTCAGAGTACTTTTTAGTATTGAACCATTCTCTTTGTAACGTCATCATGTGTTGTTTGTCCACGCACGTTGCGTGCGAATTAACAGCAGTGTTTCCCTGCGAATTATTTCCTCAAGTCTGGGAAAACCATATCCCATCGAGGATAATTATTGTACATCCATCGAATAATTCCTGAGAAACTAATTGAATTTTGGATAAAACATAATCGCTCCCAAACCTTGAAACGTCTTTTTGCACCTTGGTTTAAAAAGGAATTTTAAAAAGGTGTTTCTTGTGTTATTCTTTTATCAGACTATGTTGTTGTTTTTTAAAATCAAAATCCACATTAACATTAGCCTGATAATTATCAGACATTCGTGTGCAGAGCTAACGCGACGCACGTCTGACGTTTAATAGCATGCACATTTTATGCGACTCCGCGCGCAAGCCTGTCGGAGTCAACTTTAGAAATTGTGACGTCATTTCGATCAGAAATGTGACTAAGCTGTTGATTGGTCAATTTGGCACCATGTTTTTGTAATACAACAACGGGTTACGGAGGACCCGATAGAAGGCCCCCGTTGAATAGTCAGAATCTAGAGGTCAAGACGTAGTCTTGTTGTGCATAATTAATCGCCGAATCTGCTCGCATATCATAGACCCTTGCTGCGCAAGGGGATATTCCATATACTATTATAACCTACCCTACATAATAATGATATCTTTTGTTCATATAATATTACTATAGGAGGTAACAGCAATCAAAAAAGAAGAGAAACAAAATAGCTCAAACGAAAAATGCCGACACTAATTTGGTTTGGCCTCGAAATAATTTCCATTGCTCGTGCTCATCACACACAAAAAACGACCGTGAGCGACCGAAATGCCTAGAATGCAGGATCCTTCAATTTTGGTTGTCACGGTAACATAACATAATATTGAGCCTTTTGCACACAAAAAAGCGACAGAGCACGAAGAAAACGTTTGGGGGAAGGATGCAATGACGTCATCGAGACAAAAAACGTGACCGCCTCGGTTGAATGGTTGTCAGGGAGAATGTGCGCGTGTGCGGGGGCAGTACCAGCCAAGGCTATGAGGATAAATTGGGAAATCGGTCATTCTTTTTAACGCGGTCCTAGCACGAAGCACAAAGTCAAATAGTCTAAAACAACATTAGAAAGGCAGAAAATGTAGATGGTTTCTATAACATGGCCTACTTGAATTGCATGTTTTTGGTTGTCTTAAAAATAACAAACATTTCGAATAAAAAAGGACCATTCGTCAACATTGTGATTTTGGATCACGCCGTTTTCGCAATTTGAAACACGACGACGATTTGTTTGAATGTTGCAATAGTTTCAGTTAGAGATGGCGATTGGTATGGCGGCCATATTGGAAAGAGTGAATTTCCGACGCTCATGAAGATAGTTAAAAGACAAAATATATCTAACATTCTCGGGGTGAACCTCAGCGTTCCCCGTTGTAGTTCTCGTGTTCTTTTGATTATCAACACTTTTCCCATGAGACTTTCATCGTTTCTTTAGCAATGTGAACACGACCCCTGTATGGCGCATGCGCATAACGTGAACATTGGTATGCAGCATCGGATTGACGTCATAGCCGACCTAAATTGCTATACTAACTAGTTCAGTTGCTTTCCTGGCTATTGTAGAATATACAATTAACGATATTTCTCATTATTTACATAGCTTATCTGTGATAAACCAATTGGTACAGTAATGTCAAAATATGTGCATTTCTGGGCCAATTTCATCTCGGGGTTGAAACTATATACAGTATGTCCCAAAAAGTGTCCGTCGGACTATTTTTGAAATAACTACAAAACCATGAGGTCAATTTTGAACATTTTTGATTGTGCAGATACTCCTTATCCTTGGCCTAAACACCTATGAGTTTCATTTAATTTCATTCACACATCACTGCACAATTGTCGATTGATCACAACAACATTTTTGGACACTGTGACGAAGTTCCTTGCCTTAATCAATTTTATTGCTGTGTTATGTAAGCTGTGTGAAATCCTGCATGTTATGAAACAAAGGTTGATGTGGTTTGGGATTGGAATCATTTGCCCTTGAGCATTAAACTGCGGTTTTGCCATGATAATGCCTATAATCATCTGGAGTAGGGTGGTTGTACTTAATTCTCCTCTTTCGTTTTGTGCTGGCGAATAAACTTTACGGGTGCCATGAATAGTTCATAACGTCGACGGATGTCTCGCGTGACTTCACGAAACCTAACATGGATTCTACGTAATTCTAGACGCCTGCCTTTTATAATGAAATTGAAGTTACGAAATTTGTGAAATTGGTTCTTATTTTGTCACGCATTGTTGCAGAGTTTGCGAAGTCGATGTCTGATATTGGAAGAAAGTTGCGGTGAACTTGCTTGAGAAAGGCGCATGAAAATGGACATTCGATTGAGGGGGTTAGGGTGGGCTCCCCCCCCCCCCCCCCCCCCATTAGGTATCGCCAAGGACATTCAGAAAGTTGGGGATTTATTTGTCCTTTTCCCATATATATTTAAAGTTTACAAAAAATGCACAAATTACAGATTAAAACTTCCAAATCGTCATCAAAAATTAATTCAGTAAATATTGTAGATCTCCAGCCCACGTCTCGTTTCCCACCATTTAGACAAAATGACCACCCCTACCCAGAAAATGGTTGCTTCAAATGACGTGCATCCGCCTCCCCGGCGCGGCGAGAACTGAGTGGAGAATCCGAGTCGAGGCCGACTGATTTGTTTGGCTCGCGCAAAAAGAAAACTTGTTACTCCCTGCAACTTTTTAGCCAGAAAATAATTTCCCCATCTCTAGGAGTTGTCTGGAGAAAGTTCATTAAGAATTTTATTTTATCCGACTTTTTCTTTTCATAAATTAAAACAACCCTATGATCGTGTCTTTTAAAAGTGGAAAACATTATTCGAGTGTGTTATCAAGTTTTGATATAAAAAATGCGGATCTTCGATGCAACACTGACATCACAGTGACTAGTGGTACAAGAAACAATTTTTTTTAGGGGCGCTCGTGGTCCGTAAACAGCCGTTGTATGCAGTCGGCGGCAGACTCGACTAGACGTAGGCTTTTATATCCTCGGTAAAGCTAATTTGCATAATGTCAACACTAGCGCCATGCAGACGGCTGCACAAAAACCGCCCAACTGTGCAATTTCGGCAGCACATGTCGTCTGTAGCGGTATTGTCTGTTGGGCGCTTCGCCAGTCAGATCTTTTGTTGCGTGCATTGACGAGATTGGGCTCTGTGTGTTATGTCTATGAGATAAGTGATAGACGCAACACGCCGTTTATTCAGAACAGACTCAACAACGTAGTGCATGGCTGTGTTTGTAATGTACACAAGACGAATTCACGAATGGAAAACATAGTGGAGATTTATCTACCGAGTTTGTACCCCTTCCGTGAGTATTATGGAGCAGATTCAGACTCAAAGTTTTAAGCACAATCTGGACAAGGTTCTGAAGAGTTACCAGACTGTTGCCATGTCGAGTTTAGGCGGGCCGAGTAGCTACAGTGCCCGCTGGGCGGCGAGCTCTGAGGAGCTCGCCATCGCTGCCAGAAAGCTGGCGGGGTTGCACTCAGCGAGTGCGATGGCATCGCCTGCTGTGGCTTCGGATGCACGCATACACGTAGCCGGCCTCAGCGTGGCCCTCAATAAGTCAACGGAGCCACTCATGGCCGGCCCGACCACCCCAGCCACAACAGCAGCCCAACCACCCAAGAAATCGGCCGCCAAATACCTGGATTTCGACCCGCTGCTGCACCCCCCACCGTTCCCGATCCAGCAAATGCCCGTCTTCACCCCAATCGACCAATCCTCTGGGGAGAAGTGCGAAACGGTCCTGGAGAACGAGACTATTTCCTGCTTCATTGTGGGCGGGGAGAAGCGGCTCTGCCTCCCTCAGATTCTCAACAGCGTCCTGCGCGACTTCAGCCTCCAACAGATCAACGCCATCTGCGAGGATTTGCATATCTACTGCTCGCGATGCAGTCATGAGCAATTGGAGATACTGAAGATCACTGGTATCCTGCCGGCTAGCGCTCCGTCGTGCGGCTTGATCACAAAGACAGACTCTGAGAGACTCTGTAACGCATTGCTGTATGGGTTAGTGGACGACAAGCAGTACGTGCTCCCGTCCCCGCGCGGCAAACGCGGGAGCGCGCTCCACCGAGAAAACTGCTTCTCCGTTTACCACGAGTGTTTTGGCAAATGCAGGGGGATCTTCATCTCGGATCTCTACACTAGCCCCCACGCCCCCACCATCGAGTGTTCCGAGTGCCAGTACATTTTCACCCCGCAGAAGTTCGTCATGCACTCGCACCGAGGCAAGGAGAATCGTACGTGCCACTGGGGTTTCGATTCAGCCAATTGGAGGAGTTATTTGCTGGTCGCCAAGGAGCAAGAAAACAACGAGAAGCATCAGGCGGCGCTCGCCGACATGAAGGCCAAGTTTGACTTCATGAGTCGGTTCAAGAGAAAGCACGTGAGTACCCAGTTGACAAATCATTTCCGTCTTCATTTCAGGTACGGGATTCTGCCGAGAGTTCAGAACGACGCTTGTGGACACCTCAACTGCAAACACGGCATTTTAAGAAATCTGTGAACATTTTTTTTGCAGTTTATACTGTAGACTGTCGGGTACAGACCGACCGAAGACAGACTGTAAATTGTGAGATTTTTCATTCTTTTTAAATAATCGGTCACGCAAGCCAAAAAGTTGCAGCGGTACAGCTGGCTGTAGCCTGTATTTGCTGTCGTTGGACAAAAGCTGGCATATTTGGTGGTTATTCTTTCTGCCTTAACAAAATGTGGTGATGTGTTTCATTTAGTGATCTTTGTGGTGATCCATGGACATCTTCAAGGCATTAGAATTGATGTTTACTGTTGACTAGTCTTGATCTGAGCCTGAATTTATGATTTTTATTCCCTTACACCTAGTCTCTGACAAGCGTGATGAATCTGACGCTGCAGTAAAGGCTATTATCATCAACATGATGTATCAAATCCAACCTTGGGAACTCTGGTAGCGCTATCCAGGAAATCCGAGCATACCTCCCGCACGTGTGCTTAATAAGTTTGAATGAGTACAGCACTTGGATTCTTGGATAAATGGGTAGCTCTGCCGAAGTTCTCAAGGCTGGCTTCAATGCATCTTGTTGATAGTGAGCTCTACATGTAATCTACTTATGTGCCCTGTTTATTTTGTCAATTTGAATACAAAGTTTATACATCTACATTAAAGACAAAAATTAACTCTCAAGCACTTGAATTTACAAAATGTAGGGCCTATACATGTATTTGCAAAACACGCTTAAAGTTAAGGGATTTTTGGTCCTGACCTTTAAAATCCCAGAGTGTCCTCTAGTCACACTCACGAGATAAATTTAGTTGATAAAACACGGCAAATGTTCCTGGTCGGCGATTAGGCAGGTCAAGGAGGCCAGTTCCACTACTCAAGGCCCGACGACGCCACACACTGACACTGCATGATAAACCTAGATTGTCTGGTATATTTAGATGAACATGTACAAAAAGCCGCGATCTTGCAAACAATGTGAACCACTTCCGGACGAGCACATCATCATGTGATGCCAACCCCATATCTTGAGATTGAACTTTAGCCCAAAAATGTATTTATTTTCTAACAAGTAAGATTTGAGGCTTTGCATGGTGGAGATACTAAATAATGAAAGGTTTGCGGAAACACCATGTGCGAATAATTTCTCAACTAAGAGAATGGTTCTGAAAAGAACCAGAGGTATAAACTCTAATTTGTAACAGTTAAAGTTTTCACTACCTCACACCTTTGTCCAACTTGCAGACTTTTTTTTTTTGCCGCCCGCCAACACCTTGTGAAAATTCACCGTATCTGATTCCCGGTTATTGATCTTTATTTCACTGTCTCCGAGCTCGCAGAACGGAACATGCGAACACTCTCAGTGACTGCCGCAGGCTTATCCAGTTAGGAATTGGGTTAAACCTGACAGTTCTAGGTTTTTCCCCGATTCATGTGACTATCTATTGAAGGCATCTATCGCCCGAGCAGGTATTGTACGTGCAGATGCTTACGTTTAAATTTGCAGAAAAGGAATGCGACTGATGAATCGTCTGAAGTTTCACAAGAATTTCGCAATTTTCTCTGATATGCTGATACGCGTTGGTCGGTACTTCTTCTCGTTCCAAATCAGTGAAGACTTTCATAAGAATTGAATAAATAAAGCACGTCCTTCTCCTATGAAACCAATTGTCTCAGCAGAGAAACCACTTCTTTGACCTCAGAAAAAAAATCCCTACTGTCGCACATCCGAACACAAACATTGCGGACACGCACATTAATTTTTTATTTCTGCATCTGCTGACTTAATATTTGTTTTCTCTGTGTGTGTGGTTTTATTTTTTTTTATTATGGCCGGAATTTTGTGCAGAGGAAATCTCGTCAGCCATATATTTATTTGCCCTTTACCGCAGAGTGCTTCTTCCTGTGCTGTATGGCGTGGGAAAATCTTCTGCTGTCACCACAGAGAGTTTCCGTTTATGTAGGCTCCGGTCGTTTGACTTGTACATACTGTCATCAATTACATTGGCAAGACCCCAGAATTTTGTTAGTTTCATTTTATTTTTATTTCATCCTAAAATGTTTAAAATCTTGTGCTTGAGGATTTATTCCACTGTGTCCATGCACGATTCCCTGCGACGTTCATACCCTAACCTTCCCAAATCCTCTTCACGCAAGCAAAGAATTTTGAAGGATCAAGGCTGTATGGCAAAAATGTGTCTGTTGATTTTGGAGAATGCATTGTGCCAAGGTCTAGCCTGTACCTTGTTGTTAATGCTCAGCCATACATAAATTTAGGCCTGGATTACAAACTTAAAATCATCCGCACTGCTTCCGGATATCATCCGCACTGCCTCAACATGTTAACAGCGATTGACAGGGGATTTTGCAGGATTGAGGGGCAGTAGTCACCCCTCCAGTGAATAAATTCAAGAAATAACAGAGGACATTGTGAGAATTGAGTCTGCATCATCCAATTTTTACATGGAGGCAGTTGTACAATTTTGCAAGGACTGAGGGTGCATCCTAGCCAAAAGGCATAGGGAGTAAGGGTTCAAATGTTTTTGTTAATTTTTTTTTCATTCTCATGAGGTACTCTCCCATCAGATACCATACAATATTTTGTAATATCGCGAAACTCTCGTACACCATACAAGTGCCTTGTTTCACAATCAATTAAGAATAGGGATTATAAGTGTAGTAATTTCAGGAAACCTTTTATGAGTTGCACGTCTTGTAGAACCCAAACAGTTGTCGCGTTTTGTAATCTGGCACTAATCCCCCAATCAAACTAATGCATGGTAGAAGAGTTGATAAAAAAAAAAAGACAGAAAATCCACCCCTCCACAAAAAAGAAAAGAAAAAAGGACAACCGGTATTATTTATTTTATTTAATCTGCCCGGAAGATTAGTCACGTCAGGAAAAGGGGGAACAGCTCCATCGGGAAAAAGGAAAGCTTGGTTCTTGGGGAGCAACTATAACTCTGGCGCCCGACTTAGCTAGAAGCGATTTTGACGAGAAGCAAAAAAAAAAAGGGGGGGGGGGAGAAGTTTGCTGTGAGCTTTAGCTTCAAATCCAACAGATATCCTGTATCATCATAAAGTCTATAGGGCAGTGTCACTTAGTGTTAGGTGACCCATGCATCAATCTTCTAGTTAGTTCTCCTGCTTGCCAACCTCGTTAGGGCTGTCAACTTTTTTTGTGTGAAAATGAGGCTTGTTTTTAGTGTTCGTGGAAAAGTGGAACGAATCAATCTTGAGCAATGTCCTGAAAATGTAGTTTATAAGTTGTTGCAGGATCTAGAGACATGATCTTATTGAGATACTTCCCTTAAAAAGCACCGCGCTTGGCGTCGCCTTCCTTATGCTAACACCATTTTCGTTTTTGTTGGATATGTTCTCCAATTTACGATACTGACACATTGCTTGCTTCCGAGGCACTGCGATTCTCCCAAAACCCAGCCTGATTTCCCCTCTGCACATCTTCACGTCTACGCCGTTGTTATTGTGCCGTCCATGCTTCGCGGACACCATAACACATCGCAACGATCGCGCTTAAAGAGTTAAAGGAAGTCTATCATTTGGAATGCAGACGCACTCTGAAAAACGAAAATTGAAAGCGGATTTTGCGACAAGTAAAAGAAACAGCCTAGTCAATTGGGCTCTTCCTTGACTTTCTTCGAAGAAGGGAATTTTTTGCAGGCGGTTGGAAAGAATAACACGTCAATGACGCCTTGGTTGGGCACAGTTTTGTTTAAAGATGATTGCGAGAACCATAGTTTACATAATTGCACAGGAAATTGGCCAGTGCATGTATTTTCACTAAACGTGTGTGCAAAAACGATACGAAAACGAGCCTGTTTATTTTTAATAACTGCAATTTCCGATAACATTAAAAGCAATCAACCATTTGAAGAAAAAATAAGAAAGCAAAGAATGAGTAGCTTCCAAGCTGGACTTGTATGGTCTAACTAAATACTTGACAATTTCAATTAGTGAGATGGATTTATTCATGATGGAAATATGATTTCATTACGGGTGCTGTTTCCCATTGTGGTACTGTACGTTGTTGTTGAAGGAGGTGATTGTGTGACAAAAATAATTACCGTCTATCGCCGAGACATGTTGGAACACGATTCGGTGTATCATATAGCAGCCTCAGGTTTCATGGCATAATGTTGCGTGCGAAATGTGTTTCTCCTGTTTACATTGTGCCATCATTTGTATACAGCCTTTAGTACAATACTTTCGATTCAATCAATTAAGTTGCGTAAATGAGCGTTTTCGAATTTGAAGGAAATTTTTAATACGAGTCGAATTTTGAACTACATGTTCTTTTCATTTACTTTATGTACCTTGGAAACTCATTTTGCTGCAGTTGTACACAGCTAGTAAAAAAAACACCGAAACCCAAATGTTGGAACCATTGTTTAAGTGAAGTTCTGCATGTAGCACTTTCAAAATCAAGGATATGAAAGCCCAATTCATGAGCTTTCTAGTACAAGAATCATTCAAATCACTCATGTACTTTTCAACTTCAAGTAACAACCACCGTTTTAAAGTTCTGTCCACGGATCACAAAACAAAAAAAGCACATGGGTGATGTGTGTGAATTGCTTTCTTTTTTTTTTTGCTGAAAGAACATACACATTTTTAGTGATCCGTGGACAGAACTTTAAAACGATGGTTGTGTTTAAAATTCCGTAACTGGATGAGTACATGAGTGATTTGAATTATTCTTGTACTAAAAAAAAGCTTACGAATTGGGCTTTTATATCCTAGATTTTGAAAGTGCTACATGAAGAATTTGACTAAAAATAAAGGCCCGACATTTCTTTTTTTCTTTTTTTAACTCTCCCTGTATTTTCCTTTATTTCTACATATGAAGCTTAATTGTACACCACCACGTCTCTACCATTCAGCCATACATGCATATTTTTTTAATCATTTTTTTTGCTATGAAGAGAAAATAATGACTCAGTTAATTGCAAATTCCTCTGTGGCTGCGGCAGATGTGCTTTTTTTGTCGGACAAAAGCCAGTTTTCCGCACAAGTGGTT